ATAAACACGTTTAGATTGAATGGTAATTTATAATCAGTCACAAGAACGTCGAATCTGAATCACTTGAAAAAAACACGGGGGTGCTTAACTTTTTTCCAGGTGTATACATGAAAATGTAGAATTCTAATAAAACAACTTTCATTTTTCAGGTTGAAGTCAAGATCAAGTTTGATCCTCGAAGAGTTGAAGAAGAAGAAGAAGACTTGCAATTTCAGTTCAGCATGAATACGTAAGTTTACCAGACTATTTTGTTTTTGACAAGAGATGCAAAATGTCTTTGTTATATTATTTTTGATAAACTTTGTGATGTATGGGGCAAAAACATGCATTTTTATATGCTTATAATATGTAATTGTTCTGTTTCTCAGCTCAGTAATGAAGACTTGTGGTATAAATCATGCTTTTGAAAATATTCTTAAAATGCAAATCATTATCTAAAATTCTGAATCATTCTTTTATTTTCCATATAATTATTAAATACAAATGATTGTATCAATAATAAACGTTAATACAGATGTTTCTTTTATATAATATTACTTCAGTACCAGTGTGAACTTAGCAAAGGATACAAAACTTACAAGGGAGATTGATATTGTACGTCTTGCAGAATTGGAGCTTAATGGGTAAGATTACTGTAATGTATTTTTTATTTTGGCTGTTTCTTTATGTATTTTGTTTACATTTTTATGACCATGTTTAATGTAAAAAAGTATGAAATAATGTAACTAATATTATTATCAGTTGTAGTGTTATGCAATATTACATCTAGTATTGAATGATGGATCATGTTTTCCCAACTTACATGTTATATATCGTTATAATTAAACTGCTGAAAAGGCTCTTATGTGAAACAGTATTTAATGAAAAAAAGATTAAAATTCCATCTTCAAGTGAGACAATAGATTCTTCTTTCACAAGACCAGGATTTTTATTTTGGTACATTTTCAGTTGTTTCTGTCACTAGATAAGAGTTCAGTTTTCAACGCATGGTCTGTGTATTGTAGTTGTTGTTTAGTCAATAATGGAAAAATTATTATCAATTATGTGTTTTTATGCTGTACATTCTGAAAGACAATAATGGGATGCAACTAAGGTGAAATGTGATTTTTGTTTTCTTTATCTAAAGGGGCATCATAAAACATGTACCTGGTGTTGTAATTACTTGTGTATCTTATAAACTGATGTTAACCAGATAGTGGTAAAAGCATTAGTAAGTATGTCTGTATTGTAAAAACTTCTAGATACTTGAGACTAAAATTTACAAAACCTTAAATAAAGTTTAGATCCATTGTTAAAAAAACCAACAACCAATTTTTATGGATACATATTTATTTTAGATTACATGTTATTGAGTATTTACCTATAAATACAAAACCTTATGTGGGTGAAAATGCATAGTATTTATGTAAAAATGTTACACTGCTCTGCGTTCAGTTATTAAAAGAGTTGTCACGTCTCCGTTCGTCAGTTAATTTTTCGTAAAAATTCTTTCTGAAGAAACTTTACCGATACAAGTCCTTTCTTAAATAAAACTGGTTTATTCTTTCTGAATACAACTTTGCGATACACTTAATTTCAACAGTCGCGCTATAACAAACGCTATAATTCACAACGAACGTCTCACGTGCTCAACTCAACAATATTTTGTCCGCAGTTCAATTACACATTGTTCCCGTCGCTTCTTGGCAGGTCTTATATATACAAGACTACCCTATATCTAGTAGTCTCCCAATGCTTCACGAACGTTCTAGAAGCGCGTGGCATGTTACTAGCGTCACGTGACCTCCGCTGTCATAACAGAGTAATGGTTAATAATATTTGTATTTGTTTTAGTGGAGCTCAACCAGAACAAGTGTTATACGGTGGTGATGTCATCGGAGAGACTTCAATGAAGTATGACAGGGATGTTGGTAGCAGTGTTACTCACACATATCAGGTGTGCTAAATCTTGTACAAATAGTTTTTGTGCACTTAGAATTGGAAAATCGAATCATAAGAATAATTACAAAAAAGAGAAGTTTAGTCACAACTGGTTGACTTGTTAGCTCTGTGCATATCTTGGTTGTCTCTGTTTAAAGTCTTTTTTTATTTATTTATTCAAAGAATATCATATATATCAATGTCTATTGCACTTGATTATGATCAGAGCTCTGTTGTATTGTGGAAAATTGTGTTTCTTATAAATGTTATTCTGGGTTAATATTTTCTTGGAGAATAAACATGTTTTCATGCTTTTCCTTTTAACTAAGTATTCTATAAAATGTGTAAAAACCTCCTGTCTTTCAACTTAGCCCTAACGTTATATTTTCTTCATATTAATTGAATAGCAGTATATTCTTTTATGATTAGGGGAAAAATTTACTGTATTCTCTTTGTTTTTTCTTTCCTATCTAGTGTTATCACTCTTCCAATGTATATCTGTTAGGTTTAAGTAAATTTCATGAATGTGCAGTTGTGTTAATATATAAATTATTTCACCTGTCTTTTAGTTAGTTAAACTGATCATAACTTTTTGACTTCACTTTTGGTCGGTTACTTTTGCTTTTAAAGCATTCCCATCCTTTTCAGGTACATAACTATGGACCATATAGAGCCAAGCAGGTGAAAGTAGTAATTTCATGGCCATATGAAATAGAAAATAAAAGAGCACATGGAAAATGGTTGTTATACATGGTGGAAACTCCAAAGGTAAAGGAATAAGTTATATTGCACACAAACTACAAACTGAATTGAGGTTAAATGTTTTGAAAACTAACATATCTTTAATTTAATCTAAGTCTTGAAAATATAGTCATTAACTAATTTTCAACTGTTAGAGGCTGCATGGACCCAAAAGTATTTCCTTTTTTCTTCTTTTTTTTTAAAGAAAAACCATATAATTTTGTAAAGTTGTCAGTATGTTAAAACAAAAAAAAACTAAATTGTATTATAACATGTGAAATATTAGTTCATAAAAAAATGAATAGTTAATAAGATATAAAAAACATGTATTTGAAACCATATAATAATAATAATAATATAACTAAAAAAAATGAAAAAGCCAGTTAAGAAAGAGTGAAATGGCTTACTTATTTATTAATCACCTTGAGTTAAATGATTAGCCATGTATCAACTTATCAGTTCTAATGGAACTAGCTAGTATGAATTGTATTTATGGCATAATCGCTAACAGGACACAAAGTGGTACACTAGAACCAGATATCACAGTAAGTATTGTTACTGTAGTATGTACAGGACATGAAACAGCACACTAAAACCAGATATCACAGTAAGTATTGTAGAGTCTACTGAATGTTCAGCAGTATATTAAAACCAAATTCAGTAGACACAGTTGGTACTATAATATCTAGTGGACAGGACTTGTAAATTGAAGTTTTGTCATATCATCTAGTATCTTTGTACAAACTATTAGCAACTGTCAGTTGTAGTTTAAAGTATTGTTTTTATATACTGATAGCAGAATATTCAGTTGTAGTACCATGTATTGTAATGATTAGCTGTTGTATTTTTTTATTACAAGGATTGAGTAATATATACTGTACTAATAGACAATAAGAACACTTAGCAATAAAACAAAGTATTTTATAAAATACTAGTTGTACATACATGTACTGAACACTTTGAAACAGAATGAAGTGTTGTTGTTAGCACTTATGGTAACCTATGTAAAGTTGGTTGTTTTATTAGATTTATGAATAAATTTTGATGTGTGTATATGTTCAAGTAACAATTATACTTATGTAACAAACATCCAATTTTGAAACGTTGATAAAGTTGGTATCCATATGTACATAACATATTTGGTGGAGGTTACATAAAAAGAAGTTTTAAGATTGCTTCTCACATCATTTCACTTTGTTATTCCTGTATCTTGCAAAAGGTATTTTTTTTATATTATAAAAGTTTATTTAATAAATTTCAAGTGGAATAAGAATTAAAATTATTTTTTATGAAAAACCTGTGATGTATGTTATATTATGAAGTAGATTAAAGACATCAAGAATAGTTTCTGAACTAAATATAATTCCAACTTTATGGGATTTACCAATTATCATCTTGTATTTTGTATAGGTTGAAGGAAATGGTTACTGTGAAATGCAAGAAGGCCAAGTGAACCCCTTGAAACTTTTGGTAGGATCATGCAAACATCTCTTTCATTTCAAAACAGTACATTAATTAGCATAATGCAGGCCTAACTTAATCATATTTGCATATTGTAGTATTAGGTAGTGTTTTGGTTAAGCAATTAAATGGTTTTCCATGTTGACTGTTTGTTCAGTTCAAAGTGCACATTTATATATGCTGATCTTAGCATTTACATTTTTCATAAAATAATTGTATCCAGTCTGTCTTTTCAGAATTTTAGACATTTAAAAGCTATGTGATTATGAATTTTGCTCTTAATTTTTTTTACATTATATGAACATATGAAAAATCAAAACAGTATGTTATGTTTTCAAGTTTTTACATATGTATGTTTAATATGGTCTTCTTTAAATGCTTTGTTTAAAATCATGTCCATTAAGTTGGCATACATTTAGCATTACAAATCATGTTCCCATCATTACTTAGTGAGGTGTAAAACAATACAATTGTATTCAAGACCATTCTTAAGTAAATTTAATCAAAAGACGTGTTTCTTATTGCTGGAAACATTTTAAGATTGTGTTCTTGTACTAGTTGACAGAAACACATTTTATTTATAAGACATTTTCTACAGCTTCATAGAAAGATATGTATTACAAGATAATTTTTTTTCTGTTACATGAAAAAAATGTGTAATGCTCAAGATTTTTCTGTTTTTTGACAGAATACTTTGATGTTTAAGACCTTTTTGTTGCTTGAATGAAAGTTGTATTTCTACTGTTTGGCAAAAAATAATGTAGGAACAAAAAAAATCCATTCAATATTAAACTTTGCTATTTGACAATGAATTAATTTAGTTTAGAAACTCTGCAATTTGAAAAAAAAAAGTATTCATTATTGAAAACTTTTACTAATGCACTATATATATATGGCTGCATATCAGGGTGGCTGTAGTACCAGATGTCATTGTATGGGGTCAACTGTGAGATCAGACTGAGGCCTCAAAGGCACAGTACGTATCCCTACAACTAACCCATAATACTCACCTTTCTATGTTCCTGTTTGATAGAGAATGTTGTAATAACATCTTTATATACCTATTTTTGCATTTATTATCTAAAAATAAAATTCTATATTATATTTTTGATTAAATGCAAAACTTAGGATGATGATGAGCTTCATTACTTTTCCTTTTACCACACAGTATCAGAGGCCAAGGCATGGCTCCTGTTGTTTATGTGCACATGTGGTGACACCTGGCGGTAATGATACTCAAATCATGAAACAACAAATTTCTGCCATTTTCGTCAATAGAACAGAGACAATTGATTTGGCTGAGAAAGCACAGCTCTATTTATTGCAAAATGGAGGAAAAGGTGACAAAGCTTGAAATGAATGTGCGAATTATCACCTTTGAACAAATTCTTTGTTCACAAGAAGGCCAAAGAGACACCAAAGTAGAAGTGTTACAAATGACAAAGTTTAAAGTAGTGTGAAACATACTGTTTGTTTGATTGTATATGTCTGATTGTGTGATCATCAGTGCTGCATGAGGTGTGAAGAATCAGGAAGGATTAGTGTGCCATTAATAGGGAACATCAGTGGTCGCTAGGTTTGTAACACCTACAAGACATGGCACTTATCAGTTGATGTACGGTAGTGACCTCACTTTGATCAACAGGTCTCAATTGGGCAACAGCAGGTAAGAGCCGGCCTGGGTAGCTGCAATACTGAGTTCAAAGAGACCGCTTGGGACTGGGAAACAAGTGACCACAAGCCAAGTTGACTGCAATACAAGTGTCCATAATAGCAGATGTTTTACAAACATAAAATAGAAGGAAATATTTGGGACTGAGCCAAAATGGCTGAAATTAAAGGTTGACCGCTTTATCACATTGACCAGTATGCGGTTCTGGATTGTATATATATATATATATATATTCATGTAAACATGTCTTAACATTCAGGGTTCATATGAAATTTGATATGGTTGACAGATAACTGCAATGTTTTTATTTTAGTACATATAGATGTATTATTTACATTTGGTTTTGTATATATTGTTAGATATATGAAAAGTTTCTTTCCATTATTTAATTTATATGAATAGCATTTCTTAGCCTGATTACTGATGAATATCATTAATTTTGTTTTTCATCACAGACAAGTCCTGATGGAAATTCAGAACTTACTGATGATGGTGTTGTGACTGTTAATGGTCGAAAGAAGAGGGAAGTTACTATACTCCCCGAGGAAAAAAAAGTGGATGGAAAAATGGTCAAATTTGTGACATTGGTATGAGTATTTATAGGTACATGTTTATGTTGAAAGAGAAAAGGCTTATGTTTCTTTTTTTCTTGTAAATGCTTTGTAGGTCAATGAACAAATTAGACATACTTCTTATGATATATGAGAACACAGTGTGTAGACTGATTACACTTGTAGTAATTTCTTGTTTTAGCAATTAATAAACTTGCAAGAACAGTTAATGTAAAGAAAGTTATTTCAAGAACAAATCAATCTTTATTAATGCTGATACTGGAGAACAAAGACATAAGCTTATACATGTTTATGTGTATATTCTAAAGTTCAGTAAATGAAGGTGTAATAAATCATTTAAAAATTTTCAATAATGATTAGAAAGTTTTAGCACCATTTTTTATTTTTATTTTATTTTTTTCTGCGAGTAGATGGGGTTAGCTATTCCAAATCCATTTGATATAAAGTGATTTTATCAGTTTTGGTATAAATAGGCAGTCAAATTGTAGCCAGTTTTAGTGGGCCAGCCAGTCACAACTTAATTTGCTTGAAGATGATTTTATTATTGTTGTTGAAAAATTACAACTTAATTTTGACATATAGGTAATAATAATATTTTTATATCTGAGTAGTCAATAAAACTAAAATAAAAGGGGTTTTCGTCATGTACATTCCTTATGTAAAAAGAATATTTTTAGTCATTGTTTTATTGCCACTTTCCTTGCTGGGAATTATTGTATGGCAGATTAAAAATGTAAGGCTCCTTCAAAATTGATGCCACTAGTAAACAAAAATTGAAAGCCAACAATGATCACTTAGAGCTTTTTGTTTAATAATCTTTTTTAAATTTCAGTATGATTAAAATTTTAGTCTAAGCTTTATGTACTAAGTAGTGATAATTTTCATTTAGATTAGTATCTTTGTACATCAGTAAGCTGATGATTAAAATCAGAAAAGTGTTATTTAGTCATGGTATATGGTTATTGTTGTAAAAGACATCAAAGTTTAAGTACTTGGACTCTTATAAATTATGAATTTCTCTTCTTCTTAGACTTATTTTGTATTGAAACTTTAATCTTTGTTATTAACTTCTAGGATTGTCAACGAGGAAGTGCCAAATGTTTTCGCTTTACATGTGTCATCAATAACCTCAGTGCCAAAAAAAATGATATTATAAGAATAAAAGCCCATCTTTGGAATAGCACATTTGTGGAGGTAGGGTCATTTGATTTTTTGTTTAATACTTTTAACTATTATGTAGTGCCACATTCTGACAAAATGTGATCTGCAGATCAGTTGTTTTTGTAACATTAGCTATCTTTAAAACTATAATAGGCAAAATATTTTAAAAGATGAACTGTCTTTATGTTATTAAGATATAATGCTTAACCCAGTAACATGCGAGTATAGAATGTACTAGTTTTTTTGAAACACAGAAGTGTGTTAACTTTTTCAACTTGTTACTGAGTCACAAAAAAAGTAAGATGATTTTAAATTTGGATTTTTGTAGGATTATCCCAAGGTGGATTATGTTAGAATTATTTCCAGAGGAGTGATATATCTTGACCCTAGCCTAGATATTGAGCAGAACACCACCAATGATAAAGCAATGGTGAGTTTGGTAATTAATTTTAGAAGTCATAAGATAAAAAATATTTTAAAATTTCAGCAGTATACCATGAATAGTAACAGTGCTGAATAAAATAGACCATACAAGAGTTGATTTGACATAAGTGTTGTTACATCAGACGAGCAAGTATTAAAAGACAAACTGTTGATTATTGGTTAGAAATAAAAAAAAAGAGAGTAAGATCTGGATTACATGTTAAGGGAGCTTGTTCATGTGAAATACCTTACTTCACTCCACAGGCTGAAACAAAGGCTTACCCAGACAAACTTGTTTCTGAGGCAGAGAAAGGAGTTCCCATCTGGATCATTATAGTTTCTGTGGCTTGTGGTGTACTTTTGCTCATAATTGTTATAATCATTTTGTGGAAGGTGAGTAACATGTATAACATGAGTCCTTTATTATTTTAATATTTTCTCTCCATTAGTGAAGATGACAAATTGACATTGTTATGCAAATTGTATGGTAACTTCTAACTTTCATTTCTGTTACATTATAGATTAGTTGAAAGTCAAAAGGTTATGTTTCTACTTTCAAATTAAAATTTCTCACAAGTTACAGATGAAAATTTAGACCAGGGGGATTCAAACCTATAACTTCTTGCTGCTTATTGAGCCAATACTTTAGCAAACTGGGCTACTGTGTTTTGAAAGCCACAAATCACAATATTTAATGAAGTAGACAATAAGTAGAGAACATGCAAGAGTCTTGAATTAGGTTAATAAGCTTGTGAAGCTCAGAATCAATTTATTCTTATTTTTTTAGTGGTTTGTCTATGCATATTATTCATATGGATATCTCATTTGTAACTTTTGATATTTTCATATGTCATATTCCAAAAATCCATTGATTGAAGTTCTTGATGGTGAATGGTTATTTAAAATCTTTGCAAGGTGGTGACAGATTAAGGTTTAATAAATTTATTTTATTTTATAAATATTGAAATGATGTTGTATAAATTTTTTTCCCTATTTTAGTGTGGATTTTTTGCAAGACCATTACGTCGCTATGGAGTTGTGCCGAATGAAGAAAAAGATACAAATAACTATCCACATGCTTCCTGAAAAAATAACTTGAATAGTTAATCCATGTGATAGCTGTGTATACATTGGTGGCGATAAGTTGCCCACAAACAATTGCCTTCTATTACTCCATTTGAAGACAACACTGAATTGTTCTTGGTTAGCACTGCATCAAGAGATTTGAGACTCAGTGGCATGGTTTTTAAGAATTTTAGTTTATAGTAATGTGTCTGTATGCAAACATCAAAATAAAGAAAAACTAACAGCTTAATTTGTCCTATTAAAGAGACCAACTATTTGTATTTCCTAATCAACTAATGAAATACACGTTTAGTGGAAGAAAAACATATTAGTTAATTGTAAACTTGAAATAAAAAAAAATCAAACATTGTAGGTTGTACTAGGCATTTTCATAAATTTTTATTTAGTCATCTTATTAACAATGTTCAAAACGTCCAGTAGGTTATAATAGTTTTGTTGGAAGTTTCTGTGATAAAGTGAGCAAAAGTTGTATTACATCACCAGCTCGGTTTTGAGTATTTAAGACAATATAACCAATTGTGACATTTGACATTTTGAATACTACATATGGTACCATATCTTGCAGTCCACCTGTGTAAAACAGTAAAATGTTAATGTTCAGAAAGGCTTGTTTTTAAATCATACTAAATACAGGAGGAAAAAAACATTTTGGTGCTAAACAATGATTTTTTAATACATAAGAATATTTTTATTAGTAAAGAGGAGTTAAATTATTGTATTTTCTTATTGGTAAACAAAAGTGTTAACCAGGAATTTCAAGCAGAACAGTGTGATAATTTCTGTAAAACTGTTTTCTATGCAGTTGCTGTTACATATAAACAAAGTAAGAAGGTTCCAAAAAAATAAAATGGTTATAGTAATTATTGTATTATAAAAGGCTTTAAAAGTTTTGTTTCTTGATGTTGTAAAGTATAGATACTGTAAGTTTAAATCATTGTTATTTACTTAGTTTTACAAAGTTTTAAGATGATGATCTTCTTGCATGTGGTTTTACAAAATAGTCTTTATGTCGAATTATTGCTGCTAATAGGTTTTAAAATTGCAAACTTTAAAGTACAGACAAGCTGTAATTACTTGTAACTGTCCACAGATTTTGCTTTTCATTTATACAGTCATTCACAATTGCAAGTTCACTTCTCTTGTTAATGTCAGCAACCTGTTTCAGGACTCTACAAACAAGTTAGATTCTTTCAAATTCTTTAAAGTGCATCACCTTATATATACACAGGCCTTTTTGAAATGTTGCAGATACTTACTTGAAAACACTGTCTTTGTTGGTTGTGATGCTGTAGTTATGGTCTGTGGGAAGTTCACAGACATATAACTCTAAAATCCAGGGTTTCATTCCTCATGGTGAACAGATTGCAGATAGCCCATTGTGTAGCTTTGCGCTAAACAAATAAATTACATTCAGAATTAATCATTTTATTACATCTATGTTTTGGTTATGGAAACATGATAACACATGTTGGTTGTGATCTTGCTGTTCAGATAGGTTATCTATTTCATTAACATATACACAGTAGTATTGTAGGAATCATATCAAAAACTTATATATATGTATAGGATTTTAAAACTTCGACAAGAAATAAGGTCATTAGTTTTATTAAGAAAGAATAATTGAGAACTTTATTCATTTTTTGTGTGTAAAAATAATGAATATATATTGACAAATAACTTCAAATAAGACTGTGTTCATATCCTTTACAGTACATACCAGTATTCTCTTGACCTATTACTAGAAATCAGTATTAATAATTCATTTCACCTAGTTTTGACTCGCTGTTGTTCATATAATTCATAAGAATAACTACTGTTAACAGGTTAAAGTGATAAATTGCTTTCTAAAGATGTCAGACTGTCTTAACTCTTTAAACCCATAATTTTTTTGCTCATTCTGCTATAATTATTTTCATGATGTCCTAATAATTATCACCATACCTTATAAAAAATTTCCAGTCTATTTATAAATGGTGAATAATAACATACTTTGGATTAGTTTTCAGCCAAAGAGACAAATGTTATCACCATCCAATGGTTTAAGTCAGGATTTTTGGCCAGGCATTGGCAGCATCTGCTTGGGTTTAAGGAGTTAATGATATTAAATACACTATTGAGATGAACTTGCAAGTCTTCTATCTTCCTTAGCATAATTACCCTACTCGAAACATTAGTATTATTAAACAAACTTCTTTAATACAATAGAAATTGGTGAATACCTCCTCCAATCACTATTTTTGAAAGTTATTGAATGATTTCGTTCTAAAAAAAAAAACAAGCCGCAGCAAAGATAGACCCCCTTTTTTAACCTTGCACATTTTTCAGATGTCTAGTATGTCCACATAGTTTTATAAAAACGATACTGAATTTCTGATACTGTTTCAATTGCTTTCTTAAAATATATTTGTCATTGTTAAAGTAACCACAAACAGCACAAAATATTGATTACCATTTTAAATATCTTATCAGACTAGCTAATCTTGATAAGTTGGTGATAAATTATTTTCTAAAGATGTGAGTCAGTCTTTTACTAAATGAAAACCTTTGTTCTTGTTATATGTTCATTTGTATAATTTACTACATTAGTTCTATTAAGGTTCTGATGAACAAAAGTTTTGTCTTTGTTTTGGGTAGTTGACAAATAATTCCTGACAGATGCACATGTTTAAGGTAATGTGACTTACCAAGTTAGAAACAGCAAAACATATCAAAATTAAAGTTTACAAGTAAGAAAAATATTATTTAATATTACTGTGTGGAAAAAAAAAGAGAACCTTTCTAAAAAATGTGTAGTCAGGGCAATAAATATTAGGAGAGGACCATTCATGATCCAAGAATAATTTGCTCATTTTTTATTGCTCATTTTTGTTTTTATATTTTTTGTATAATTAACTAATGCCCTTTTTTTTTTTAAAGACAATTTACTACACAGTAATAAGACCAAAAGAAGTAGGCAGAAATCTTGATATCATAACCTTAATGTATATAGCAAAGCATTCTCTTGACAAAGCTATTCCATTCCTTCTTACATGTTTATTTACCTTCTGTATTTAAGCCACAGTATTAAGCAGGTTACATTTTGTTTCATATACTGCATAAAAATCACATTTTTCTATTGTTATTGTAATGACCCACAAAACAAGGACGATCTGTTAAGTAACCTACATTTAAATTGACAATGTATACTTTTCAAAACAGTAACATTTTATCACAAACTGTTAGTAATAAAAATACTAAATCAAGATAGTTTGAAAGTAGTAAGTTTTATTATAGTGTATGAACAGCTTATTGTTATACCATGTACATCTAACATTTATTTTTATGTACTATATTAACTAATTGTTTATGAATAACTTTCAAATTACAAAGCTTTATTTCATAAAAACAATAAACATACAGGATGGAAAGTTTCTATCTGTATTTGTCAATGCTTAGATAATCTCTTGTTGCTTGTCCATTTAGTGATAAAATAGTTTGTTGTAAATATTTCTTTTTGAATTCTGAATATTCTATTGTACAGATTGGAAAGAGCTGTGAAGACATACAGTATAGATAAACAAGTTCTAACTCATATTTAGTAAGAATAAACAATGTATTTAGTAAATGTTAATGAATACAAATATCTAACATATTATATTAAATGTTTATCTAAGTTTACATGTTTTTTTACTATCAACTTCTGCATAAACTAATTAGTTCATTAATTAATTAATTTATAGAATTGAGCTCCTAACTTCGTGTTGTCTATTGCTTAATTTCATCCTATATTATCTTGTGTATTTCTATGTAGATAAAACCTTCCAATAAAATGATAAATGATGTATCTTAGTGAGTTTTAAAGATAAATTTAATTGCTTATATGAAAGTCTACGTTCAAAGTTATCTTGTTGAAATTGCCTTAACAAAAAGTTGAAAAGTTTCTGTACAACGGGCTATGATAGAATGATTTCATATCTCAGTTTTACATGACTTAAAATGTGTACGAGTAATACACAGTAAAATGTATTATTGCCATGCAAATATGTATAAATTAAAATAATATCAAGTTTTACTACAACTAAGTTATGCCCTCACATTTTCATACTTAATCCAATTAAAAGTTAATTTTTGTTACATTAAAATAATTTTACTTAACTTTTTAAGAAAAAACATTTAATATTTTCATCCAGAAATACTTTCAGTGGTTTCTTGTTTTAGAAGACAATTTCAAAATCTATTACTCATAACAGGATGTTAAAAAAAGATAGGTGTAAGGTGTGAAATGATACAAAAAAATGGTGATCTTAAAATTTCCAAATTACAAAGTGTAGTTTGAACATGTAATCCAACAAATGTCTCTCTCTCTTCTTTTTTTTTTTTTACCAATTTAATCAACTCTAATCTTTGGTTTTTATTCAGTCAGTAAGGCACAACTGTTCATAAAGCAGGAACTTGTATTCCCCATAAGAATACAGATGTCCCTTCAAAATTCAAGTTGTAATTCCATCATGAATATACATGACATTACCTATCAAAATATAATGGCACACAAATTCCATTTTTCAAAATAGTTAAAATTTTCAAGTCTGATGGGATGAAAAAAAAATTCAGCAAATACAGATAATGGGATAGTTATGCTGTCTTACCTTTGTGTATTTTATGTGTTTTAGAATACAAAATATATATGTTAAACGAGCTAGAGCTAGTTTTTCAGGAAGACTAGCCATGTTACATATATTTACACACACTAGCAATTGAGAATCCATAATTTCCTTGTTAAATTGTCACTGAATATAATATGACAAAAAATTCTAAATTATTCCAAGTGCAATATCAAGATTAGTGAAGTTATAATTATTTAATTCTTAATTAATTGTAGATGGTATATTTGATGTTCTAGTGTTCTACTTTGATATTTCCTTAAGTACCATCACAATAAAATTCTATCTGATAGTTGTTGCATAATAATTTCTAAACCATCTCATCTAACAATTGTTATGTTATGTGGATTCCTATCTTTAGTTTTATCGCAAATGATTAAAGTTTATGGATAATGAAAGCATGCTCTAAATCAGCACAGACTTAACTACATGTACACAAGAACTGTCATGTTGGCAGGTGGTGAAAAACAAACTCTGGCAAGTGTACATCACACAGTGGTGATCTAAATATTTATAGTGCTAAGGACAGGTGTATGTGTACACAGTTACCATATTACATGTGGTAACAGAAAAGGTGTACATTTATACATTAACCCTTTGTGGTTGTATTTTTCATTAGTACTGATGTTTAAACACATTTATTTAACATACCTAATCAGAACACGCATATTTACATAGATATTACTTGTAACTGGAATTTTGAAGTAGCAAACTTCACTTGTAAGTATGCTATCACTGGTTTTTTTTTGGTTTTTTTGTAGAAGTTCCACAAGAAACAGGAGTCTTGTACTAGATTTCTTTTCTTAATACAGTAATACCTGATTAATAAATGACACACAATTAATAGATTTTATATATTTTTGGACATCTTGTATCCTTGATGTCAACCTTACATTTACATTATCAGTGTAAAAATGTAACTAATGAGACAGCAATAAACCATACTTTGTAGTTATAAGAATGCAGTTGAAAGCAATAAAACATAAAGGTAAAAAAAAGTATTTACCTATTTTACTTATAAGTACAAACAATGAATATAAGAGCAGTTTCAGTAAACACATGACTCTCAAGATAACACAATAACTTGCTTTTCTTATGCCCTTCAGTTCTGAGCTGTTTTTATTCAATTAATACTTTTTACTTATTATACTGTAAAACAAGTTCTAAGTGTAGAATTAAAAATTATGGTACTCTAGCTGTTGTTTTAAATTCAAGAAATAAAATGCAAATTCTTGTACAGTTTGAATAAAAGAAACAGAATTACCTTATAAAATACATCTACTTAAGTATTTTTGAAAAATATATAAGAACTTTAAAACAAGCAAGTTCTTGCATGATAAGACACTTGCATTATGATATTTGTTTCAATCTTACATAACTTATCAATGATGTAAAAACAAATACTGGTTTAATATTTACAACTGAATGAATTCTGTACTATAAAAACTATATTTAATCACCCTTAACAATTTAAAATGAAATTCATCAGATTATATATTAGCTGATATATATTAAGAGTATGGTACAATTAAAGAAAAAATTACTTACTGTTAACGGCAAAATTTTACTGTTGTTAACCAACTAAAACCTTCAGTTTCAAAAGAATGATTTTTGAAGGAAATTTGATATGGATAGTTAAGACTAGCTGGCACAGAAGCTAATATATATAATATACAGCATTTACAGATTCCCAGTGCTACTATCCTTTAAATTCAAAAACAAAACAAAATAGTATCACTCAGTTAATCTACTCTTCGCAAATCACTGCTTTTTATTATTATTTTCATACCAATTTACATTGTAACAAGAATGACATTTGTGGAAAGTTTTCATGTCCTTTTCACACACTAACAGTAACACACGTTGACTAAGGCACAGTATCTCTCCTCTTCTATCTCGTTCATCCTTTACAAATGTAGAACATTTTCAGTGAAATGTGCTGTTCCTTTATACTTATATGTAGTACACCTAAAGATCACATCTTGGGTAGATCTGTTTAATCTTCAAATTTCAAATACCAAGTTCAGAAGGGCACTTCAGGTGCTATTAACCAAACATAAATCATGCAGCATAACCCTCACAAAAAACTAGATAACGTGTAGTTCTCACCCATGCTTAAATGTTAAAAAAGTGAGATATCTCTTTCCTATTTAATGCAATAGTAAAGCCCTTACTATCAGGATCATTGCATCAAAACATTACTAAACCTGTTGAGACTACGTCTTTATTGCTTTGGACGGGTTATAATTCTGAAATTTCCACTGCTGTAGATAGCTTCCTGTACAGTCTCTCATGAGCACTTGCTGTTTGTTTCGTGCCATTTCTAAACATTTTCGACTGCTGCCATGTTGAATGCTGTGATTCTGCAGTATCCAAAATTATATATATATAAAATTTATTGAATAAACTTTTAAAAAACACTCAAATACAATTTGTGAAATATTATGCCTCTACAGAGGTTTTTTTTTAAATCTATGGTAATGGTACAAGAATGAGTATCTAGGACTTACAGACCTTCTTTCACTATTAATAATGTTCTGTGTGATGGCCATAATTATGGAATATTGTTCTGCAACACAAATTTCATTGCAGAAGGCTTTTGTGCAATATACTGAGGTCAATTTTGTACTCTCTTTTTTATATATTTTCTAAAAAATCTATCAGTTGTACATGTGTATAAATTATGAGGTCCTGTTTGAGTAAGTCAAAGGCACAAAAATACAAGGGAGATATTTTCAAATAATATAGCATGAATTCCAATTTGTGCTTGCATCTTGTGAAGAAATTGGTATGTTGAATTACATTAGCCTAAAAGTAAAGAGAATTCATTTATCATTCTCTTTTGACTCTTGATGTTTTAACTTACCATTATAGCTGTAACTTACAACCACCTTGAATAAAGTTTCACAACATGCTAGGTACCATTTCTAAAATGTTTTATAATTGGAAAAATTTTAAAAACTTGCCCTGAATTTTGCAGAGAGTTAAACATATGCTATGTCCAATGTGACAATACTGTTAATACAGTTTTTAATGGTTGGTCTTCTGTTCAGTTATATGCTTGTGAACATAGCTCTTGTGTGTTACATTTGTAGACTTAAATCCACATAAACTATGGAGAGTCTCATACTTTAGATGCAATGATTGCTGTGAACTTGGATTACTTCAGGTGAGAAGTTATTAAACTTCCTTCACTACCTGCAATTTGTAGCTGCTCTTGGGGCAGCCAGTTCTATCACTATTGGAATCATACCTTCTATTACTTTACCAATATGGTTCAACATTAAAGATATCCCTTTCTTTGAAAAGCTAAATTTCCATGCTTCTATAATCACATAATAGTAGAACTTTATGCCAAAATGTCCTGTATATGTAACCCTCCTAGAAGGGGTCAAGGAGCAAATTCTTACCATAGATCGAGAGTAGTCCTCTGTAAAGTATATTTTGTAAGTAAAAGAATTAGTTTGATATGATATCTAAAAAAATTAACTGACAAACTTCTAGTACTAACATGTACTTCATGCCTGAGACTATGTAAAACTAATAGCTGAATTAAAAGCTATCCTTAGAGCTTATTCAAACTTGCATTAACAAATTCTATTACAAGTCAACATACATTATAAGGTTTTTCTAGTGCCAACTTCGGGGCAAATATCAGTCCCATTCCCAACAAAATAATACTTGATTTTTTTTTTCAAAATGGGGAACAAATTTCCAAGGTTTTTCTAGTGCTAACTTTGGGCCAAATATCAGTCTCATTCCCAACAAAATAATACTGATTTTTTTTCAAAATGGGGAACAATTTTCCAATTGTTTTAAAAAAATCAAAATGGAAAATTAATATTTAACCTACCTAAGGCCATTCTTGTAACTACAAAAAAGGGGTTCCATTTTGTACATCTCAAAGTAGTATTCAATTTTGTAACAATATTAAATTGAGATGACACTAGGCCATTTTATAACATATGTAACACATGATAAAAATGTCTCACAATCACAAGTATTATGTGAATAAAATATAAAAGTTGGAAAAACTGTTCTAAAATTTTTAGATTTAGGTTCAATCTAAAAGTAGAAATTGTAATGTTATTGTCGACAGTACTGGCTCAGTAACTGGGCCCACCATCATGATATTGTAATGACTGATATAGTCAGGAATATCACCCTTCTATAAATAGTGTGGAATATATCTTTAGTCATATATATTCAGGCAAAGTTTTAATGCTGGTGTTCTGCATATAGTATGGCATTCTTGTTAACCAAATGTCAAATATCATAAATATGTACTAATCCTTTCACTCAGGTAAAGACTGCATATACCATTAGCTAGAAACTCTATTCACTTCATCCCTGGAATTAAGCATAAGTCTCATTAGCACTGGATATACCAAACAAAGTGTGGTTGGTATATTATATATATATATTCTTCTTTACATTCACACAGAAATTTAATTAATAATTATCGATACAGACAACATTTTCTCATTAGTGCCATTGCTTATTTTACAAGCATTTATATACTAAGTTCTCAGCTAAATTTATTTTTTTTAAAATAGTGGTTAATCTTTAATTAAAAAACAACATTATTTCATTAAAGAAATGAGCTAGAAATTTGTACATAATTTGATAAAACAATTAAAATAATCATAATCCATCTGAATCTATTGGGTTCATAGTTCCAAAACTGATTACCCTTTGACCCATAACATGGATAAAGTATCACGTCTTGTCCAGCAAAATCGAGACAAGCTTCATCTTTTTCATGTTTCAAAAACACAAAATTAAGATAATCGTAGTCCATCTGTTTACTTACATTAGGATCATAGTTCCAAAACTGATTACCCTTTGACCCATGACATGGATAAAGTATCACATCTTGTCCAGCAAAATCAAGGCAAGCTTCATCTCGTCGAATTTCTCCTTCTTTACTAAGCATCCAGAACTAAAACCAGAAGAGTTAATTATAAACAAAAGTGTCTTTCAGTAAAGTTAATTGTAAATAAATGAGAATTATAGTTATGTAGCAATTTGTAATAAAAAGATAATTGTTATATCTAGTAATCTCAATAATGACAATGATAGTAATAAATACTGTGTTAATTTAATATATGTACCTTATGTAAAATTAACTATAACAATAATTAAACTAAATCTACAAATTATTAAACAATACTTATACTACAAACTTTACTAGGCACTTGTCACCACATCAGTTATTAATAATCACAATAAACAATGAGTTAAGGTTTGCAGAAAAACAGTAATTTTAGAAAAAGGCAGTTTAAGCTTGCTTGAAATTTTTTTTTACATTTTAAGTTTGTTTACATTGATCCTTAACTACTTATCTCTTCCTGGTATACATTTGAACTTTATGGTATAAAGTCCCTAGTTGAAGGTTTCTTTCTTCATGCATGCTCTTCCTTCTTTTCAGCTATGTTAAAATTCTAATGTTCATGATTGTAGAAACCTATTAAGAACAAGCTAAACCTGTTTACTTTTCTTCCTAGCCAATAGATATATTTGTTTGAAATTTGAATAAACTTTTACTTTTTTTTCAAGCAAAAGTTTTAAGAGAAAGTAATGACAAGAAGAAAAGTAAAGATTATTCACTTAAGACCTTATACCTGTTAAAAAACGTCAGTAATACTAACTTACTTGAAACAAAAACATACAAGGTGTTGTTACATTCACCACACATACACAAAATAACTATAAGGCTTCAACAGATGAAATATTTTCAACTAATGCTAAAAAAAATATACTTACATCAAATAGAAATGTTTCTATGTCCAAAGGAAACAAATAAATATATCTACTGATAAATAATGGTATCTTCAATTACCAAAGGATTCTAGTAGAAAGTTAGGTTTAAGATTGTTCAATATGACATGAATGGAATTAGGAATTCTCCAGTTTATTTGACAGAGTATTTGAAGATTAGGGTTGGGATTAAGAGCTCCAACCATCCCACTCACCTGGTTTCCACCCTGTCCATGACACGGATAAAGACCCACAGGTTTGTGAAGGTCATCCCTACGAGCAGGGCTGTCAAGGCAAATGATGGACCCTTCACCTAAGTTGCGAACCTGTCAGTCATAAAAAGACAGACAAATTTGTTAATGGAATATATAGATTAAGATTCTTTGGTATAATTCTGGAAGAAAAAAGCCCATACTAAAGCTAAATATACCAAATCAAACATTTAGCAAGCAGTGGTTGAGGAATTCTAACTAGTTCTTACAGATGTGTAATAAACAAAATTATGAAAGGAACACAGATGAAATAAATTTTTGTTTCGAAATTTAAATATTTCAGTCAAAATTTTCAATAAAATTATCTCCAATATACTCTAAATCAAAAGGGTTTCTTATTCGGTCTTCTATTATAAAATTAACATATGGTAATTCTGTGAAGTAGCAGAAGAGGATTGTATTTCAAAATGGATCTGTTTGCCACAACGAATTACATAATTTCACCATCTAGTATTATCTTATTTTGTAATCAACCTGTAATATTTCTGTCACTCTAACAAGATATTTTAACAATATTTAAAATTTGATAGTGATAATATATTGTGCAAGTATTTCAAAATTCTGGTGCAGAGGTTATAACAAACTTCTGAAAAACGTCTACCCTGTAACTTTACTTTTACTGAATACATCTTGTAACTGTATAGTTTTACTGAAAACATCTTCTTTGTAACTGTAGTCTGAAAAAACATATATACATATGTTCACAGAAAATTGTAATGGAACAAGTTGATACAAGATTTTACATAGGGTCTTCTTATAAAATACATAAATAATGGAGAATAAAGATGTTTAACATTGGGGGTCAACAGTGGCTTGGTGTGACATGCTCTGCATCACACACGCCTACTGCTACAAAGTACCCATGCAGGTATTTAGCTGGTGAGCAGCATGGCTTACTCAAATACATCATAGAAATGATAATTTTCAGAGAACTCCAGATACACCACATGATTTACCTTTATCTCTCTCTCTGAAACATAAAAGTTTTTTAATATTTTGAAATACTAAAATGTGTTGTCCCCATTCAAAAATCATTGTAGGGGCCAGGACCCCAAGCCTGCCTGTTTATACTATACTGATGAAGATGTTTAGCTTTAATCATAATTTATCTAAGTATTTATATATGTGCATTGACTTCAGAAACACAAATTACAAGATGAATTATAATTTCAAACACTAACAATGGATGAACTAAAGGTAAAATGAAGCATACATTGATACTAGGAAAATAAATGTAATGTTTGTAAAATTTTAAAAACTAGTAAACATAATTATCAGCAGTTATTTCCAGGAAAAGATACCAAACCCCTCTTGAGTTATAGAATATCATAATTTAAACTTTATTGTGGCTACTATTTTAGCCTAATCATATTTACAGGAAATCAGGCTTTAAGGCATTTTTGAATACGGTAGAGTATACAGTGGATTTTATTCAATTTAGGCAAACTGATTCTGTAAGTGCTGTTTTAAAAGATCAATATTACCTTTACGATCCAAAAACTGACAAAAAACAAGATGGTCACTAAATATAACATAAGTCACTTGAACTTCTCATATGCTCATGATAGATGATATAAAACTATTCTGACATTATAAGCATCCAGGAATTAAATGGAAGCAAAATGAAAAATGTAGGAATAGGCATTTAAGGTCTTCTGTGTAAGGTCATGGTCGTTTTTCCAAAATGGCTGCCAAAAAGAACTGAAGATATTATAAACTCAGATGTTCCAATTAACAAAGAATTACAATGTAAAACACTAGGCAGATGTTGTATGCATCCAGGAATTTATCAAAGTAAAACAAAAATATGTAGCATTAATCTAGGAATTAGGGATCAAGGTTATTTCTCATCATACATACACGATGTACATTTTTCTAAATTGTATAATTTTATGTTACATGATTAATGTGGTGCAGTAGTTAACCCAAGACCCAGGTATAGTAGTAGAATATTCAATCCAGCAAAGTGGCATACATATGCCCCACAATTGCATTGGGGGGTCTGACAAACTTAAGAATTGCCAATATGGAGAGAGGCATACAATTTAATTTTTTTGAACTAAAGGATAGTATAGTGAAATCATTTAAAAAAATGATAGAGTAGACTGAGTCCATACACCTCAATCAGTGGAAATATATTAATTATAGTTCCACCATGCGTACTACTACATCCTTTGCTTTCACCAATGGGTAAACTAACCAGTCCAAAATTTTTTACATGTGTAATCCAAAAATATACATTAGATTCAATTTTAAGTTTGATTTAATTTTGAATTTTCAGTTAAGTTAATGATATCAATCAGCCAGAATTGTAACTACGATTATAGGGAAATAAATATATGGGGCACAATTACTTTTTATATATGTGTGGGGGTATCTTTTGTAGTTATGCCACTGGTCCAGCGTAACAACAATAAAAGAGAAGTTAAATCAAAACCTAAGTATATTAGTAGAGTAATTAACTCCACAAGTATATGACCCAAGATTCAAGTATAGTAGTATAATAGGTAATTTAGAGTAATCAACTTCAATCCTTAGATCAAGTACAAGGGTAATAACCCTGGGTTTCTTAGCTCAAAATCCAAAAGAACTAGTAGTTACTCAAAGAAAATGAGACAATGGAACCAATTTTTTAATGGACTGCTGCCAGAGTTAAAGTGAATTAGCAGTAGAGATGATTGTAATCTACTGGGTTTTTGTTCTTTATCTAGGAACCATAAGTTCTGTGATTGGTGCCAGTTGAGAGACTCATCTGATATAAAGGCATTTAGAACTCTCAGCATGTGTCTCTTGTTAGCACCTTAATGTAATTTTTGGACTCCCTATGACCCACCTTTCGTAACCTTGTTCTTTCTGTTATGTTGATCCATGATGCATACAGAATATACTATAGGTTATGTCTGCTTAATTAAGACTAGGACACAATCAGTCTATATCCGGTATCTAGTTTCAAGATATTAAAATCACATCAATTTACTAATGTTATGATTAGCGAAGGGTCAAATATTGCTGCCTCGGTTATCTTTTTACTACTGTGGAAACATTATACAGAATGTAAACAGGTTTTGGTAGATTTCTGACCAAATGTACACAGTCTCTAATGTAGTGGCTTTGATGAGCTTTGAATAAAGCTGATGTCCTGAGAAATTAACATAATATGAAAGTATATGTTAAGTTGCACTTTAAAGGAAGATTACCTTGGCATTTAGCAATGAACCTTGAAGTGATAATTCAAGAATTCAGGTGTTTTTCCATTGGATTTATAGATGTTTAAAGTATCAAAATATGGTGTATGATTAGATTTGTATCTTGAATGACCTGAAGTTACAGCTTTTTCTCTACATATTGATCATCTGTTATGTGGATAAAAAAATACGACCTTTTCCAAAATTACCACAAAGAGTCAAAAGTGTGTGTTACATTTGATTTCCATGTATTACCTGATGCCTAAAATATCCTAAAAACTGTATTAAATCGATAAATCTTATCTTTCAACACTGGGTAGGTAAGAACTCATAAGAGCTTGTGTTATTTTTGGTAGTCATCTTGTTTTTTTTGTCAGTTTTGGGGACAAAAATGCAAAACTTAGCTTGGTATGCAGAATTGGCAGGTCCAAAATTATATAAAAGCCATTGTATACCATATTCTACTCAAACTTGATAAAAGAGTTAGCACAAAGAGTCACATATAAAGTGTAATAAACTTTAAAATTTTTCTCTATCAGTCAAAAGTTTCATACATAATGAAAATTAATAATATTTTTTTTTCTCTCTCTACAAACGAATTCTCCCTTCCGGGAGACTAACTTCTTGAGTTGGGAATTGG